AGTTTGCATCAGTAAAGCATGAGAGTCCGGACTGATTTCCCGAGGCATAGAACAGACCAAGACCAGGGCACGACTTAAGTTATCTCAAAATATTGTAGACTGCATCCATATGAGCTGAGCGAGGGGCATGCATGAATTGACTAATCACACTAACAGCAAATGTCAAATCGGGCCTTGTGTTAGTCAAGTAGATAAGACGACCTATTAAACGTTGATACACGGATGGATCTGGAAGTAATTCCCTTGACTCAACAGAGAGTTTAAGATTGGGGTCCATAGGAGTGGAAGCGGGTCGACACCCAAGCATGCCAGTATCTTGAAGAAGATCCAAAACATATTTCCTTTGAGATAAAGAAATTTCACGACAGGATCTAGCAACCTCAATTCCAAGAAAATATCGAAGAGGACCTAAGTCCTTCACATCAAAGGACTTTTGAAGATGAAGTTTTGCCTGAGCAATCCCTGAAGCATCATCACCTGTGATAATGATATCATCCACATATACCAATAACATAATGCAACGACCATCAGAGCGACGTCGAATAAAACAAGTATGGTTTGAGTGGCAGCGCACAAAGCCCATGGATAAAACAACATCGCTGAAACGACTAAACCAAGCTCTAGGAGATTGCTTTAGACCATAAAGAGACTTCCGTAGCCTATAGACTTTCCCAACATACTCCCCCTCAGCCCGAAATCCAGGGGGTGGATCCATATATATAGTCTCAAGTAAGTCTCCATTAAGAAATGCATTCTTGACATCTAACTGATGCAGAGGCCAAGAATGGGCAGCAGACAAGGAGACAAGCAGTCGCACAGACGTCAACTTAGCCACAGGAGCAAAGGTAGCACTAAAGTTTTTGTCCGGAATCTGAGTAAAGCCTTTTGCCACCAACCGAGCCTTATACCAATCAATAGAACCATCGGCTAAGTACTTCACATTAAAGACCCATTTGCAGCCAACCGTTTTCTCCTCAGAAGGTAAAGCAACAAGTTCCCATGTATTATTATGGTGTAAAACATCCATTTCTGTTGTCATGGCAGACACCCAATTGGGATCCTAGAGGGCCTCTGACACAGATCGAGGAATAGAAACGGTCCCAATCTTGCCCAAGAAGGATTTATATGCACCTGAAAGACCATCATAGGAGACATACTGGGAAATAGGGTGGTTAGTGCTACTAGAAAAACCATACCAATTAGGAGGATGACGATCACGGGTAGGATAACGGGAGGTACGCTCAGGAATTGTAGGAGCAATAGGAGAAGGAGAGTTACCTGGACCTGGTTCTGAAGATGATTTTGGCAGGGGAGGTTGAGTGCGATGGCGACGAGAGTAGACTTGCAAAGGTGGAGGGGAACCCTGCATGGATGGAGAAGGAGATTCCAGGACAGTGTGATTTTCAAAGAGAGGAACAGGACGGGCAATAGGAGAAATCTCCTTCTCCAGATCACAAGAGAGAGAATCCTGTACCACAGAATTAGTACTATAAAAAGGAACAGTTTTATGAAATGTCACATCAAGGGAATGATACATATGTTTGGTCACAGGATCATAACAACGATAGCCCTTTGACATAGCAGAATACCCCAAGAAAATACACCTAATAGATTTATCATCAAGTTTATGACGAGAAGGACTATAGTTATGAACAAAACAAGTACAGCCAAAAACACGAGGCAGAAGGTGAAACAATGTATAATCAGGCTGGAGAATCTGAAGTGGTGCCTTACCACCCAAAACTTGATTGGGAGTACGATTAATCAGAAAAGCAGCTGTAAGAACAGCCACGTGCCAATAGAATTTAGGCACATGCATACCACTCAGAAGACATTGGACCACAGACATAAGATGACGGTTTTTGCTTTCAGCCACGCCATTTTGCTTCGGAGTATAGGGGCAAGTGAGTTGATGTAAAATTCCCTTTTTATTAAGTTCAGACCGGAACTCATTCGAAACATATTCTCGTCCATTATCAGAACGAATATTACGGACAACAGTGTTATACTGGGTTTTGATCATTTGAAGAAACTGGGTAAATAAAAGAAACACATCAGATTTCTTTTTCAATAAATAAACCCAAGTACAATGAGAATAATTATTAATAAATGTCGCATAATATTGATGTCCGAGAAAGCAGTAACTGGGGAAGGGCCCCAGACATTAGAATGAATAAGATCAAACATACTAGGAGCACGACTCATATGAGAAATATAGCTAGTTCTAGTATGTTTAGAAAGCTCACAAAGTTCGCATTGAAACTTATGGTCCTTACATGCTTTATTTAACAAAGGAAACAATAGACATAGATATTGAAAGTTTACATGCCCCAAACGTGCATGCCACGGACTAAAAGTGCGAGAAGAAACATCATAAACACTAGAAGTAGGTAGGACAGAAGCTTGAAGACTCGTTCCTAGTGGTTCCCCAAAGTAGTAAAGCCCATCACGCTCATAGCCCCTGCCAAAAATCCTCTTCGAACAAAGGTCCTGCAACAAACAGTGATCTGGTCAGAATATAACTGCACATTGGAGGTTTTTTGCAAGCCGGCTAACAGATAAAAGGTTAAAGGCAAATTTAGGTACATGAAGGACAGATGAAAGAGTAATATCAGGATACAGACAAACATCACCCTTGCTGTGAATGTAAGATGTAGAGCCATCCGCAAGATACACAGATTGGGTAACAGGTATGACATTAGAAGAAAAAACTGATAACTCACCAGTCATGTGATCATTGGCCCCAGAATCCAGAACCCAAGTGAGCTGCTTGGCCTTAACATGAAATGCAGTAGGAGTACCTATAGCAATAGTTGCAGTGGGACCAATTGAAGGAGCACTAAGTCTAGAAGCAAGGGAGCCAAGCTGGTCCTGGATATGCCCAATCTGAGACTGAAGCTGGCTCAGTCCAGGAAATACAGTAGATCCACTAGGAGTAACAGGAGTTTCTGCAACAGCCACAGTACGAGAAGAACGAGTTCCAAATAAACGGTTCTTAGAAAATTTTTGCTTTAGTTCAGGATGAAGTTTGAAGCAACGAGCCTTAACATGTCCAACCTCTCCACAATGGTGGCAAATAATCTGACCTCCAGAAGCTCGTGATCCAAAGTTGGTTGCAAAAGCCATACTATCCCCAGCAGGCTCAGACACTGGTACAGGAACAATTGAGGGCTGAATTAAACGGTGCCGGCGTGCTTCACCATCAACAGTAGCAAAGGCTTCCAACAGGGATGGCATTGGTGATGCATTCAAGATCCGAGACTTTAGTGGTTCAAATTCTGGGCGTAATCCCATCAAAAACTGATAGGTATGCTGACGATCAAGATGTTTGACAAGAAGAGAGGCTGCCTCAGAAGGAAATTCACTGAGAGGCTCATATTGAGCTAGTTCCTCCCAACGAGATCTCAAATACCCAAAATAATCAGTTACTGACAAATTCAGGCCTTTCTGCGAGGCCTTAGCAATATCTTGATATAATTCAAAAATACAAGCATCATTCCTAGAATGAGCATACATTTGATTCAAAGCAGTCCACAAGTCATTAACAGAGTCATAAAACATGAATATATTATTAATGCGTTCATCCATAGAATTAAACATCCATCCTAAAATGGTACAATTGTCCATATCCCACTGAGCATATTTAGGATCTTTAATATCTGGTCTCTTTTTAGTACCCAAAATTCACCCTGATTTGCCTTTTCCACCAACATAGAGGTGGAGGGAACAAGTCCAGGATGCAAAATTACGGCCATTCAACAGCACACTAGTAACTCGTTGAGCCGATGTGTGGCGCCGAAAAGAGAGTTTCTTTATCATTACTTGATTCAGCCATAATATTAAATAGATCAATTCAACAGATTACCAATAATTTCAAATAAAGGAGGAATAAATCTGATTTTGATCAAACCAAGAAGCCGGAGACACGGCGGTCTAATCCGAAAATGCTGCCGAATATCCCGGCAGCCCTAAAAAATTACAAACACGTCTTCTGACCCTTAGTGCATGAAAAAGACTAAGGGAATACCCCTACAGGGGTCGAACCTAGTGGAGATTGACTCCCCCTAGGACTGTCACAACAGCAACCTGAAAAAGAGAAAAGGTCTGTGAAAAAAAAAAAATAGGGAAGGGGCTGTAACGAGATAGAGAGAGATATTAAAAGAGGCGGTGAAAGGGAGAGAGACGGGGGAGGTGTAGGTTTGAGGCTCTGATACCAAAAAGTAACTTGGTAAAATTGGCGTATTCAATTTAAGAGCCTGACTATCATTATATACAAGCGGAAAATTACAAATATGGAAAAGAGAATAAAATCAAATCAAAATAAAGAGAATAAAATCAAATAAAATCAAATCAAATCAGAATAAAAATAAAATCCCTAAAAAGTAGCCTATATTGAAGACCCAATAAATCTGCCATAATCGTTGAGTCAACTTATAGATAAGATTTCCAACAGTTTACATAGTGATTCATCACGTATACTAGTATTGGAACTCTTAATTATTTAATTTTTCTTCATTTTTTTAGTTCTGTTCTTCTCTCTATTGAATTTTCCTCTTTATTGTTTTCTTTTTCTTTACCTAAGAATCAGATATCAAAAATTATAGATTGAGAATGCAGAGCTTAGTTTGGCAGTAATCTCCTCATACTAAAAAAATGATAAAAAAAAAAACTATATACAATAAAATTGGAAACAAGTTGGCAGTAACATGGATATGACTCATTGAATTTTATTTTCGGAATTGGACACTTACTAATAGATATGGATGGTAATTCTGCATTTAGTGTTAGATTTTCAGAAGGGTTAATTTGTTCTTATTATCTTCCCTGAGGGGGGAATGCTACATTAATAAATAAGTTTGGTTGATTCACTTCCTTTTTACACTGTTGATAGGCTATTAAATCATTTCTTTCTAGTAGTTTTGTTTGATTAATTTTGAGTCTGATGGTTTGGTATATCCTTGAATTTTGGCATGCTTTACTTATCATTTAATTTATTGCAGATATTTGAAGAATAACATCAAACCTGAGGAGAGGCAGAGATTCCACTTTTTTAACAGCTTCTTCTTTCGGAAGCTGATTGACCTTGACAAAGATCCATCTAGTGCTTTTGAAAGCAGGGCTGCTTTTCAGCGTGTTCGTAAATGGACGAGAAAAGTGAATTTATTTGAAAAGGATTATATATTTATTCCGGTTAACTTTAAGTAAGAACTAAGCCAAAGAAACTTTTACTTGTTAAAAAAACTATATGCAAAATATTTGAGCACTGACATGAAATGTGCATGTATTGTTTTGCCAGTTACCACTGGAGTTTAATAGTAGTATGCCATCCTGGTGAAGTGGCTGAGTTGAAAGGTGCGTATTTGTTGGATTTCAAGATGTTTCCTCATGAATCAAGTGTGTTAATCTTTTTTTAATTGCTTTTTTTTGGTCATATTTCAGATGAAGATGTGGAGAAATCTCTTAAAGTGCCTTGCATATTGCACATGGATTCCATCAAAGGAAGTCATACTGGCCTCAAAGATCTGGTTCAAAGGTACCCTAATTCTTCTGAGTCATGACATGTTTTTGTTTGATGGTACAACTATTTCTTTTGACTTCAAAGATCCGGTTCAAAGGTACCCTTTATTTTGTAATCATTGTTTCCTATGCCTTTATCAATTTTGTTTCTCACTTTTTTCTTTTGTGTTTGTGTGTTTGGGAAGATGAACTGTGAAGAAGAACTTGCAAGGCATTTGCACATGTTTTGTTGGAATTTTTACATCACTTTGATTAGGTGCTTTTGTTTTCATCAGTTAACTAATTTTGAGATACTACTTATCAAAAAAAAAAAAAAAAAAAACTAATTTTCAGATACCAAACCGTGAAATGAATTGAACATACAACAGGACAGTCATTATAAACTTTAACCAACAGTCAGTTTTTGAATGGACGAAACCCATCCAGTACAACCATTTGTTGTAATTTTAGCTCCAGGCTGGTGCCGTTACCATGCAGACGAACTTTGTGGCAATTAAATTGGTTTCTAAATGCGTCTGATTTGGTTCTTATCTAGCCAGGCACAAAGGTAACATTTGGAGGAGTTTCCAATTGTGAAAAGTCGTTTCACTATAAAAGGCGTTACAGGAATGACTTCGTTAGAAGGATTCAGAAAAGAAAAGGCATTTAACTGACGTGATATGCATTTGGTGACAAAATCACCGAAGTCCTTTTACTACGGCATACCTACATCAGGATCACATATTTACTTGCATTACTTTTGACACAAATAGTGAATCATAATATTAAAATATATATAAATATTTTTTGAAGAAAAAAACAAATTCTCAATTATGCAGTATGAACATGCCAACCTTAAATCAAATGCCTTGGTTGCAGACTGTTATTGGCTTGATAGTGGAAGGATGACTTGGGACATATAGTTTTGTAGAGAGTTCCATGATTGGAAACTTGAGGAGGTTGCTGCGTTCTTAGCTTTGTTATACAGTCAGGTGGTGGAGGGGGAAGGGATGGATGAAATGGTTTGGGCAGGTTCCTCGTGAGGAGCTTTTGGAGTTCGTTTTCTATCAAAGTCTTTTGGGGATCCAGTGTCCCTCTTTCCCTGGAAGGCCATTTGGAGATTGAAAGCCCCCCTAACGGTGGCTTTTGTTCCTTGGACAGCTGCCCTTGGCTAGGATTGTCACCTTAGACAATCTGAGGAGGCGTCAGTTTGTGGTGAACCGGTGTTGCATGTGCAAGAAGGCAGAGGAATTGGTGAATCGTCCTCTCCTTCACTTCCTGGTGGCAAGGGATATTTTGTCTATGTTCCTGGCTTTGTTTGGCATGCATTGGTTGTCTCCTGGTTCCACGGTGGATATGCACGAGGCTTAGAGAGGGTGTATAGTGGATAACCGAGCCAGAGATGCTTCGAGGGCCACTCCCTTGTGTTTATGGTGGGCTTTGTGGCGTGAGAGAAGTAGGAAATCCTTTGATGGAGAGGAAACTTCTATTTGGTCTCTCAAACACATCATACTGAGTTCTTTAGTCTTTTGGGTTAACGGGCATAATTGTAATTCTATGGGGGATTTTGTGGACTTTGTAGATAGATTGAAATTATAGATGGACTTTCCTCGTGAGGAGCTTTTGGAGTTCGTTTTCTATCAAAGTCTTTTGGGGATCCAGTGTCCCTCTTTCCCTGGAAGGCCATTTGGAGATTGAAAGCCCCCCTAACGGTGGCTTTTGTTCCTTGGACAGCTGCCCTTGGCTAGGATTGTCACCTTAGACAATCTGAGGAGGCGTCAGTTTGTGGTGAACCGGTGTTGCATGTGCAAGAAGGCAGAGGAATTGGTGAATCGTCCTCTCCTTCACTTCCTGGTGGCAAGGGATATTTTGTCTATGTTCCTGGCTTTGTTCGGCATGCATTGGTTGTCTCCTGGTTCCACGGTGGATATGCACGTGGCTTAGAGAGGGTGTATAGTGGATAACCGAGCCAGAGATGCTTCGAGGGCCACTCCCTTGTGTTTATGGTGGGCTTTGTGGCGTGAGAGAAGTAGGAAATCCTTTGATGGAGAGGAAACTTCTATTTGGTCTCTCAAACACATCATACTGAGTTCTTTAGTCTTTTGGGTTAACGGGCATAATTGTAATTCTATGGGGGATTTTGTGGACTTTGTAGATAGATTGAAATTATAGATGGACTTTCCTCGTGAGGAGCTTTTGGAGTTCGTTTTCTATCAAAGTCTTTTGGGGATCCAGTGTCCCTCTTTCCCTGGAAGGCCATTTGGAGATTGAAAGCCCCCCTAACGGTGGCTTTTTTTCCTTGGACAGCTGCTCTTGGCTAGGATTGTCACCTTAGACAATCTGAGGAGGCGTCAGTTTGTGGTGAACCGGTGTTGCATGTGCAAGAAGGCAGAGGAATTGGTGAATCATCCTCTCCTTCACTTCCTGGTGGCAAGGGATATTTTGTCTATGTTTCTGGCTTTGTTCGGCATGCATTGGTTGTCTCCTGGTTCCACGGTGGATATGCACGTGGCTTAGAGAGGGTGTATAGTGGATAACCGAGCCAGAGATGCTTCGAGGGCCACTCCCTTGTGTTTATGGTGGGCTTTGTGGCGTGAGAGAAGTAGGAAATCTTTTGATGGAGAGGAAACTTCTATTTGGTCTCTCAAACACATCATACTGAGTTCTTTAGTCTTTTGGGTTAACGGGCATAATTGTAAATCTATGGGGGATTTTGTGGACTTTGTAGATAGTTTGAAATTATAGTTGGCCATTGTTGGTTTTTTGTGTATTCTCTTGGGAGCGTTCCCCTCTTGAGTGCCTTTTAATGAAATCTTACTTATCGAAAAAATAAAATATTCATACTTCGTTATTATCATATTTTAAAGGTTTTGTTTTTTGGTGTACAAATTCCAACCTAAAGGTAAAACAGGGTATGATAGTAATGAGCCTGCTACTTAATGTTGGAAATTAATCATCATCATCATCGTCCTTGCCTTTATTCCATGAGTATGAGGTTGGCCACATAAATTTTGTTTTTCCATTCTTTCCTATTATACACCATGTCTCCTCAAATATATAATTTTTAAAGATCATTCCCATATAAGTTTTGGTCAGTCTCTTTGTCGCTTGCCTTCTAGGAAAACAACTCTTCCTCTTTTAACTGGTGCATTTTGGATCTATGTTGTATGAGTATACCACGTAAGTCTACTTTTACTAATTTTATCATTAATGATTAATAGGCACTATGCATAGCTTTCCCCTTACTCGTTCATTACTAATCTTATCTCTTCCAGTTACTCTTGTCATCCACCGTAGCATCCTCATAGGCATGTCACTATTGGATAATAAAGAAGTATTATATCTCACCAAATGGATCGTTGTGAGTAATTGATATTATTGTATGGATGTGCAAGATTGATTGCCGCAGAAAATTATAGTCAAGGTAGATGAATTATGTGTTTCTTATTCTGGGAGGTCCTTTATCATATTATTTTACTGTATATACTCGAGTTTTTTCCTTTCTCAGGCTTATGAATATAAGAAAACATGTTTAAGATTCTGCACATCTTGGTGATGTGCTTGTTTAGTGGGGAACAGATTGCAATTATAGATAAAATAAGCAGAGACTAGAACCATATGCTGATATGCCCTAATTTGTGCCTATTCTTTATGTTGGAGTTTCTTTTTGGGTGTGTGTGTTGTGGTGGGGTTTCCTCCCCCCCCCCAACTTTTTTTTTTTTAATTATCCTTATATATTGCTTCCTAGAATTTCTTTTTCGTTTAAAGCTCGTACTACGATTATATATTTTTTATGTTTATCTTGATAACTTTTCGAGACAGTTGGTCTTGTTGGTTGTTAACGTCTTATTTTTAACTTATGACAGTTATCTATGGGAGGAATGGAAAGAAAGGCAAAAGGAAACACGTGAAGACTCCTCCCCTAAATTTTCTAATTTGAGATTTGTCCCACTGGAGGTACTGTGTCTAGTCCCAACTAACATGTTGGTATCTATTTTAAAGTGATTTTGGAGAAAAAAAAATATATTGTACAGAGAAAATGATGTTACAGGGATTGATTTCATTTGTTATTTACATCCTCTCTTTATAATTCTTCTGATCTCTTGTTTGATTTTCACATAGCATTTGATCATATCCGTTTAGGGATGGCAATGAGGTGTGTATGAGATGAAACCCAATTTCCATTCTTTACCAAATTCATTTTGTGCTCTCTGCTAAGCTGTTCCCTGGTTTGAAAATCATAATCCACCCACTGCACTGCTTGCTCTGAATAATTCAATGACCAACTTACCAAGGCCTTTATTCAGAAGAAGATGCAGAGAATTGCCTATATAAAAAGAGAAATCAATGGGGAGTTACCTAATTCTTTTCTTATATAAAAGATCATCTTCTTTTGCATTGTCCTTTGGCCAAGGAATGTTGGGATTTGATGCTTGGTCTGTTTGGTTTTCTCTGGGTCATGCCTGGATCTTCTAGAGGGCTGATTGAGGCTTGGAAAGGTTGACCTGTGGGGGCTCACATCCAGGATGCTTGGAGGGCTATGCCTCTTTGTATTTGGTGGTGCATTTGGCTCGAGAGGAATAGGAGATACTTTGATGGAAAGGAGTTGCCTATTTCTTTTCTTAAGTTCTCCATTGTTTCCACTCTTTTTTGTTGGGTTTCGGGAAGAGATTATAGATCCATTGAGGACATTGTCGTTTTTTTGGCCTCTTTGAAGGCTTAGAGGTTTTTTTGCCTTTTGTTGTTCCTTTGGGATGCGCTCCCCTTTTGAGCGCTTTTTATACAATTCTTACTCATCAAAAAAAAAAAAATGGGGAGAGTGAAAGAGACTATGATTGGCTATACAGAGAAGAAAGAGGAGTCCGACTTAGCTTTGCTTCGGCATCCTCTATCCTCCGGGGCATCAAGAAGTTTAGAACGATGGCAATCTATGAAGGAACAAATGAGATGTAGAGAGCTCAAAGTAAGAACTAGAGCCTGAGTGAATGTTGGCTTAGAGACAATAACTTAAATTATTATTATTTGCAGCGATGGTTAATTTTATCATATAAGTGAAATGAGGGATAGTCTCTAAGATTACTATATAATGCCCTGGTGGGTGGGTTATTCGCTTGGTGTTTAGGTTCCATTGAGCACTTGGTTCATCAGGATAAGCATATTAAATATATTACATTTTTAGATGGGAATCATGGGATTCAGACAGAAGATGCAGATTTTATTAAGTATTATTCAATGAAGTAGAATGTATTACATCCATGTGCCATGAGTACAGGTTTTGGGGTAATTCAAACTAGAGTGGTAGATACATTCAAATTACTTCTGATGAACCTGAATACTAATATTTTGGTTCTGATCCTCAATAAATGGACAGAGAAAGGAAGAACCAAGGTAACATATCCTTTTTAGTTAGGTTTTCTTTGTGATTAGTTTCTCGTGGTGACACGTTTAATTAAAGTGGTTCAACAAGGGATACTAATGGTTTGACTCTGAGCCCTGTAGAAGGGTGTGATGGAATACAATTCAGATTTTCAAACTTCTGCACGACCCTGCCCAGATTTGGCCTCCTTTAAAACCGAAAATTTTGGTGTGGCGGGTTACTTAGGTGCCGTTGATAAAACTGAAACTTTGAGTACTAAAAATTTTAAGCGTTGAATTTTAAGTGTTAAAATTTTGTGTTAATTGTAATTTATTTTATATATATATGTTTCAATTTTAAGTTTCAATGTTCAACGAATGAAGTTTTATTCACTTAATTTTTAAGTAAAACTTAATTTTTAAGTGGTATCTAAATTGCATTAACAAAAGCGCTTAATTTATTCATAATTTAGCTGAATTGAGTTATCAAGCAGCTCCTTGGTAGTTTTGGTTAATTTCCATCCATAGCTTTCATTTGAGCTAACAAGATATTTGCTGTTAAATGATCATGGCAGTTCTGCTTGGAAACTAATAGGTTATGAAAAATGGTTATTGTGATGATGAATATATGTCGAAGTCTTTGATGTGGCTGCAATTACTACTTCCTGCTTGTTGGAGTTTAGAGGTTCTTGTTGTGCTTGTAGTGATGTTAGTCTAAAGGGGGCAGGTTGACCACCATCATGTGTACTTTTCCATTTCTAATTTATTTTTCGTCTTCGCTATTACTGCCTCGGTAATAGAAGGCATTTAGAAGTTTTATAGATACATCCAGTGGAGGAGTTGAAATATTACCTGGTGGGTCGGGATGCAATGTGTACTGAAATGGAAAGGTGCCGATGGTGAGAGAGCTGAGAAAGTTGAGAGTTCTTGTGGAAGTGGTAATTGGAATGTTCATTGGATGTTTTTAGCTGGTGCAAGAGGGATGTAGCGGAGAGAACTATCTAGAACATGGACATAGACACCACACTACATGGCACAAATATGTCAGACAAGGAAAATTGTATAAAAAAGTTGGGCACAACACAAGTTTTAGCTATTCTACTACAAATGTGTAGGCAGTAGGATAGTAAGTCCTAGTTTTAACTTTACAACAACACCCAGTTGTTTAAATTCTATATACCATCCAGAATAAGATATACAGTCTGTCTTCACCAACTACCTTCACAGTGAGACATCCACTTTTGTTGCAATCCGCTGACCTACAATTACCTATTTTCATCACCACCTGCCTCCTTCATTATCACGATGATATTTCATCATTGTCATCATAAGTCAATGGTCTCATTTAAAATAACATCACAAATATATTCAGAAAATCTAATTACATTTACCAACCCATCACTAGCTTGCATGACTGACATCCTCCACAGTTGTCACTTATTATCTCTATTTTCCATTCCGAGATTTTTCAGATCTGATTTTAAGGGATGGTCCCTCGTCTAATTGAAGAAGTCGGAAGGATCTTGTTGATGGTGGCAAGTAGTAATTTTTCCTTTGGTGGTTGGCCTGGTTGCCAATCACAGTATCAGGAATTTTGTCGGTGGTGGTGACTATAGATTGTAGAATTGGCTCTGAGATGAAGAGTGGTAAAAATGAATCTAGTTGGACAAAAAGTGTCCATTACATGCTTGGCTTATGGTGGCCGTATGTAAAATATCATTTGTTTCTTTTTCAAAGAAAAAGTGAAGGTTGTGAATTTTGTAATTCGCTTGTACTTTTATTTATTTATTTTTGATAAGAGATATTTCATTGAAAAGCGCTCATACGCGAGGCCCAAGAACTTATCCTATTTTTGACTGATAGGGATAAGCGTATGCCAATTATTTTCATATGATTAAATATTTTTCTATAATCATTGACATGTGTTGTGTGTCCAAGAAGTTTTGGTGCACAGATACAACTCTTTAGAATTGTACTTGCTACTACTTAGGGTGCAATCTTTTTAAAATATTTTGACTAAAGAGAGAAATGCCATTTTATGTGGAAAGGCATCTGTGGAACACACCTTAAGTGGCTTCATATGCTTCAAATGCTGCATTGGGAAAGATTTTAGAGATTAGTTTTGTGAGAAGCGATAAAGTTTGCCTAACTGGCTCGTAAATGTCTAAAATTTTACCTAATGGGTGATAAATAAAACGGGTGATGAATGTACAAGAGATTGAAGAGCTTAGTTTTCTCTTTCATATTGCTCCATAGCTTGGAGAACTTTGGAGTCAACTATTAAACATGATTGGTTATTGAATCATGGGTGGGCAAATTTCTACTCAAAACTTGGGATCTATTAATTACCATCTACTCTAAAAGCTTAAGCTGTTAGAGAGGGTGTAACTTTAATATTTATATCCTTCAACACACCCCCTCACGTGTGGCCTTCGTTTTGGTCCAACATGTGTTTCAATTTTTTTATCAGGGTGACAGTGAGGTTTGAACTCGAGACCTTTGGCTATGATACCTTGTAGAGTTTGTAGATCAAGTTATAGAAGAAGAAAAAGAATAAGAGTTGAGACGAAACTGGGGAATTGATTACAGTTGAAAAACTTAACTCTGCTCTCATCCTAACATATTATATATATTTACGAGAATAAAGAGAGAGAGACTAAATGACGCCTGTGGGCTAAACCAATTACATATGTACCCCAATATTAACTATTCTAACAGGTGCTGAATTTTTGTGTTAAGTGTCATGAGTTGTTTGTCTATGAACAAAAGAAGATGGAGTTGAAGAACAGTGAAGAACATGCTGAAAATCTCTCAATCTCAATAACATATCGAAACTAAGAACTTAGAGACCATTAATGACCTAATTATGATCTTTGAAAAGGCTCAAAATATTATTTTAAACTTGATTTTTTCTAAATTAGGATTTTGATCAGAAGATTTTGAATTAAATCATGCAAATTTTTTGAACAGGTATTTTTCACAATATAGAAAAGTTGTATAGATGTCTCAATCGATCAAAAAAGGGTCCAGGAAGCATTTATTGAAGTGTCAATTGATTGAAGCAGTGCCAATGGTGTTCGATCAAAAGCTTGGTCGATCAAAACCTGGACAGTGATTCTTGATCAATTGCCACAATATATATATATTCGGAAATTTCTCTAAAACAGAATTTTTAAAGGATGTATCTTCGTATTTTGCATAGGACTCCTATGTTGGGTATAAATATGGGGTTATAGTCAATCTAGGTAAGACCTTTGATGTCTCTACAATCTAGTGAGAGATGTTATCAGAGGGAGAAAGCTTTGGTATTTGATCTTGGGTTTACCGTAAACCATTCTATATGTGATTGAGAGATTCAAAGTAAGGAGCACATCAAGAACAATCGAACAAAGTGTCAACTTGACAAATTTGTAGAACATGGAATTGGGAAAACCATGGAGAGCAAGTTTGCGGGTGATCAAGTTTATTGATTGGCAGCAGCTGATATTGGCGTGAATTATTTGGCGTGAGTTTGAGTCAAAGTTAACTAGTGGATTCTTGGGGTAGAGTTTGTTCAATCTAGTGTTTAAGACCTTTCTCATAGTGGATTGCTCATGGTTGAATTAGGTCTTGTGGGATCTTTTTCCGTTCTGACGTTTTTCATGTAAAAACCATCGTGTTTTTGCTTTATTTTATTTGTTGCTTTATTTGTTTGTGTGATTGCAATTGAGACACATCATTAGCTAATTTACTGCAAATTGAACAACGATTTATGGAAATTTGAAAAGTTATTTACAATTAAATATCCATAAGAGTTACTCAGCTTCCCTTTCTAGCTCTCTAATCAAACCGTACATGAACCTTGGTAATGATTTGCATTCCTCAAAACCTATTCTATTATTTTCATAATGTATATATATTTTTTTGTGTATATGTTTATATATGTTCCTGCATGGATTCCTATCTGTTTTTTACATTTCTGTTGGAATGATTGCTCTCTCTCTCTCTACCTCTTTTTTTTCGTTGATTTTGGTGGGGGGTTTGGGGGATGCAGAGGGGTTGAATACGGAATTATTCTGACGTGTAGGTCATGTTTTCTGCAGCTACCGCAGCAGCAAAATTCATTTGATTGTGGTCTCTTCTTGCTCCACTATGTGGAACTCTTTTTGGAGGAAGCTCCTGCCAACTTCAGTCCATTCAAAATAACAAAGTTCTCCAACTTTGTAAGTGGATTTCATGGTTCTTATTTGTTCTCACGAGCTTCTCATTTTCGTCTTTAATGCGTTGGAATCAATCTTTGCAAGAGAGGGCCTAATTTGTTGATCTGTTTCTTCATTGTGAGTTTGTTCACAAGCTTATTGTATTTTATTTTCTTGTTTTTGTTTGGTGAGATGGTTACGAAGAAATCCTTGATTGATTCTCTAGCTGGATGGTGGTTATGAATTGGAAATCTTAGTTCTCTTCTCTTTCTTTCTGTTTTTGCGAAATGAAAAAGAAAGGAAATAGAAAAATAAAAAGCATACTGAATAGTAGCTCATCACTGTTTCTCGGGTTATTTGAATTTTGTAACGACTGGAATCAGTCACTCCATGGATTTTGGAGTATGCTACCCTGAGGTTGCAAACATTCAATTCGAAGTCCGTCTTTGGGGTAGTCCTTTTTTGGTTGGCGTGTCTAACCATCGTTTTTATCGAGTTTTTGGACTTTTAGTCTTTGTTAAGAAGATGCATAGGGCCTTGAGTAAGAGTTTTTACCTTCTATTCTTTTATTGTTCTCTTTCTTATATACGTAAGGTCGTTATTCATGATAAAAATAAAATAAATTGACTCTTGCATGTAAAGTCTATAACATCTTATTGCACCAAACACTAACATAATCAGTTTAAATTGTTATTGAAACATCCCCGGCCATGATTAATTTAAAGTTGTTGCTCACTAAATTTGAATGTTACTTACAAATACTAATGTCAGGCTTTTGCATAATTTCACTGCTGCTGCCAACATGATTAGCTTCCAATCTTGTGAATCTAATGCTTGATTTTTGTAGTTTACACCACATGGTTAGGTATCTTGTTTCAGCAATAATCTTGGTGAAACATTTTCTATCAATTTGAACATTTAAATATTCATTGCTTTTCTATCTTTCCATGTGTTGTAATCTCCTTTTGTTTTTGTCATGGAGTCTTTTCTTAGGATGCGTGATATATTATATATGTATAATAGAATTCTGTTTTTTCTCTTGAGTGGATGAAAGTTGAAGATACAAGAACCTATGGTTTAAATTCCTAACTCTAAGGAGTGCATATTTGACACATCAAATTGGCCAGAACCCAAGTTATTTAGTTGCTGGGTTAGTTTACAGTCTTTGCAACTTGTTTGTAATGGATGTTTTCATTCTTGGAAGACAACCCTTTGAGATTTTAGTTGAGTGGAAATGAAACGGAACAGAATTTTCACAGAATGGTAAAAGCTAAAATGGTAGAAAAATACCCTCGAGATCAATGTTTTGTCTTGCCCATTTTCTTCGTATTCTTCCAATTGTCTTACCCTTTTCTCCATGAATCATTCTTGGGTGAGTGAAAATATTAAACACATTAAAAAAGTATTGATGGAATTATTGGTCCTTCCATTAGTTACATGCTCGTCTTTCATGATGTTTTGTCAGACGTCCTTTTCTGATGGGTTTATCTTATTATGGTACGTGATTTGAAGTTTTTTGGTTGGGAATGACGTTTTGATGCGTTCAACTTGTGAGCTTATTCGTAGTTTTGTGCATCTAAACATTTTGGAAATTGCTTTGACAAAACTTAAATTTTGCTTCTTGATCTCTTTTTTTATTTATTATTTTGGAGATTTTCTTTATATTATCTTTGTTCTGGTTTTTTATACTTTAATAAGGTAAAGGAAGTTTACTAAGTTTCATGTGCTTGATATGGTTGCTGTCTTTTCTGATTTTCCAGCCTAATTTCTTACTGAATTCAGTTCAAGTTGGGGCTTATTTCGTTGGACAGATATTTTATTTTTTTTGATCTGATTCTAATACAACCAAGGTCATTTTTCAGAATTCATTACATACTCCAGATTTTTCTATATTTGAATTTTTTACTTTAAATAATTTGAAATATACTCCAACAAGATTTAACCTGAATTTTTATGTTTTCTTCTCTTGTATGTCTCTTATACTTATTTTCTACCGTCACAAATTGACCATGCCTTCTTTTGTTGCCTCTATCAACTCTTAGTTTTGTCTGTGGGTAGATTGAACTGTTCTATTTTTCTATGACCTTGTTTATGTGCACGTTCTCTTTCTGTGAAATTGGCATTAGAAATTTCATCCTTGTTTTCTACTGGATTATCCATGATTAGTTTAATGTATATGCTGCTCTGAGAATTTCTTTCTATAAATCGAATTAATATAAACTGTATCTTGAAATTAATTGTTGAAAAGTAAACAAAAATGGAATGATTTAAGTTGTTTTTAGCCAAGAAGGTGGTTGTTATTAGCAAAGCCTTTAACGACTTCATTAATTTAATTTATTTTTTTTTATTTTCTTGGAATCTCTTTCTATTTTGAATCTCCTTTAATTCCAAATTTATTTACTGATAATTAGTCACTTGTATTATATGATACTGTCCTGATGTTCAGGCATATGTAATTGACGGTTTTTCATTTCAGCTTAATGTTGATTGGTTTCCACCTGCTGAGGCTTCTCTGAAGCGAGTTCTTATCCAGAGATTGATATATGAACTTCTGGAAGGTCATTCTCAGGATATTTCTCTGGCTAATTGCGGTGAGAAGTATTGTAGTTCTGACTATCCCAAAAGTAATACCGAGAACGAAACTGGAGTGGAGTTTCTCTCGGAGAGATGCAGTCCTTCAAAGAGTTCTCAGGACAAGTTAATAGCTTCTTGTGCTAGTCAGGGGATTGAAATGACCCTGTTACCAACATCCTTTATGAGGAATAATGAGTGTGATAATGATTCGGGCTTGGTTGTACGGGAGTTTTTCGATCCAGAAGCTACTGCAGGATCATTTCTTGATGGACAATATCAAGCTTTTGACCGGGCAGCATCTTTCAACTTTAAGAGTGCTTTGTCACCAATTGAGGTATTTCAATTCCTTTCATCTTTTTATCTGTAAACTGCTCTGCAATAGCCTGGATGATTGGAAATGTTTTGTGAACCAAAAAGGGTATAGACAGATCTAATTGGTGTCAGAATCATTTCTACTTAACTGTGGCATAAATAGAATCCAAAAAGGCTTTATGAATAAGTTGGTAATGGCAACCAATTTGTTTTTTGTTTTTCCTTTTTCCCGTACACAATTGCTACCATTTTTTTTAAAAGTTCATTTTTTGCAATTCAACTCCTGTTTTAAATGTTGCTATATATATATATATATATATATTTTTTTTTTTTTGTAAATGAAATGGATTATTTAAAGACGTTAATCCATTGTTGAGATTGAGGGATAAACTTCTGCCCAAAAACAATGAGAAAGTCTGGTTTTTATCATTTAATCAAATATTAAATGCTTGATGAAACATATGTTCCTTCCCAGCAAAGCCTTGGAATTGGCAAGCTTTGAAATATGCTGGTAAGTGATTCTTTCTTTATTAATAGAATTTTAAGAAAATAGACACTTGTTACGACTTTCTATGCATACAACTCAACCAACTTCTTCCGTTATGAAAATTGATATACATTATTCTTGGGAGAAAAGTCAAATATCCATTTTCACAGAGGGAAAATAATCATGAGAAAATTGGAATTTCTCTGTAAATGGTGATGATCACATACTCAACGGTAATTTTCAGTGATGTTGACTTGCAGCTGATGATCTGTTGACAGTTGGAATCACCTTTAAGTTTCTCTTAATATTACCAAGTTTAAACTGGAATGTATTATCAGGCATCTATATTGGCTGCTGTGACAATTTACCTGGCTAATTTCATTTTTCAAATTTTTTTTTTTTCTCCCCCCGAGTAGGTCAGTTTTTATATCCTTCGCTTTTTAATTGGATTTGAACAAAGGCAACTGAACCCCCTTGAAACCAAATTCTGTGGACTGAAAAGAATTCTGTAAAATAATATTGTTCTCTTAGAAAAAACTGTTGTGTATTTTATTGTGAATATGTGATCTATAAAATCCTCTATAACTGTCTGAATTTTAACCCTATTGTATCTGTCTTGAAACAGGAAAATGTAGAAGCTAGTGAACATTTTGTCTATACACCGTCAGCTGAAATTGGTTTTCAGCGGTTATCTGGGATCACACCTGAAAGTTGTGCCTTTCCTTATTCATCTAGAGGTTTTGGTGCAGAGACTTCCTGGAACCCAGGAATGTCTGGTCCCCAAGCAGGGCATGAGGACATTGACTCATCCCCGGAAACATCAATTTGTGCCTCCGACAATTCATTAGAAGTAGAGGTCAAGGAAAACAGCCCGGTTAGGGAAGATCTCAATGGAAAAGAGAGAACATATCAACCAAGATCTCCCTCAACAGGAAATATAGACTGCTTGACAGATGGCTTTGTCTCTGCTTCTAGTGAGATGCTGGATGTTGCAGATTCTCAATACAGTGATGACATGCTTGATAGGAACGGTAATGCTGATCCTCTTACCTCTAGCCCCAATAGTCCACTTGGATTGTCTCATGAAGACTGTAACATACTAGAAAATGGGGTTGCTGCATCCGATAGTGCGAGGTTGATTGGTGATGGTTCAGAATCAGATGTGCAGCCGGATGCAAAAAGGTTGGTTGATGATGCTTCAGAATCAGATGTGCAGCATGATGCAAAAAGGTTGATTGGTGATGGTTCGGAATCAGATGTGCAGCAGGATGCAAAAAGGGTGGTTGATGATGGTTCAGAATCAGATGTGCAGCATGATGCAAAAAGGTTGATTGATGATGGTCCAGAATCAGATGTGCAACAGGCTGCAAAAAGGCTGCGGCTCACGTTTTCCCTTGAAGAGGATAGAGAGCTAGCAGGGAATATGTCAAAAGGATCTAAATTTGTAAATCAGGTCTAGTTTTTCGTTTGTCTCTAATTGGATCTCACTAGGATATTGCCATGCTGTGTATAGTGTTATGGCTCTATATTAGCAATGTGCCGCTGGTCTGAACGGAATTTGAATGTGAACTTTCTGTGTTTGGGTTGGACAGTGATGATGTAGATCGCTTTAATTTCATATTATTTTTACTGTATCTATTCAAAGGCACTATGTGAAGCAAAATCATTGGCAGAGACAACAGTTTACAACTGAAATTCCCATTCTGAAGTGTTGTTATTTCTGTGCAACAATGGCCATATAATCTCATGGAACACACATACATCGCATATACATTAGGTCTGCATTGTAGAATCATCTGTTTGATCTTAAGATTTTGGAGTTGCAGATTGGTTGTCGCTAATTATAGCCTTATAGGTCGGTATTATTATTATTAGAGTGCTTTGTTCTCTTCAATTTGTGCACTCATTATGTATATGAACGTCACAGCACAATATTGTCTTAATCTGTGTTGAAGAAGATGAACAGTGACGGATGGGCATAAGGCTGTGTTTGGGCATAATGTTATTTTTGTCTTTCTAAATTTTTGCTAATCACGTGAGGTTATTTTTGTCTTTCTAAATTTTTGCTAATCATGTGCCCGTTTAGCAACAAATGAAATAGTTTCGGGGGGTTAAATGTCTTTTGGTAGTTCAGGAGTTTTTTGGGAGAGAGAAGAAAGCTAAGGGGGTTTAATGCAATTAACCCTTATTATTAGGAAAAAATATATTGGAAAGAAATAATAGAAACTTGAAAAGATCCCTTTCCGCAAATTCTCCGGGACTGTGTTTAAATTCTTACTTTGTGAAAGGATTTGATTATCAAAAGAACGAGTGTGGTTGAGGAGGGTAGGTTTCCGTCACTGATGGTCGTGTTGGAATTAGGACATGGCGTCCACCGTAGATTTTCATTTCTTTAGACGGGGTTATGAGTAGAGGTTGACCTTGAGTAGTATAGGCCTCAAATTTCAAGTTTGCAACTCGTAACAAATTGTGATGATTAGTTAAAAGAATTGGAATGTGGTTGAAATGAAACATGAACCATCTTTCCAATTAAATTGCCAATTTTTCATTGGCCTACAAATTTTGAAATTCAACAATCCCTTGCAATCATGGGTTCTTAATGAGGAAAATACAAACTGCACCAATGCCAGCCTTAAAAAACACAGCTTCTTGCATCTGTGCACAGTTAAACTAGAAAAGGCCTAACTGTACATCACAAACATTCATTACCTTTCTAGATTTGCTAGTCACTAGGTTTGCTACTACGACCTGCAGGAGTTTAATCTTCTTTCTTGTCGTTGCCAACGGGAGCAGAGCCATTTCTATTCCTGGAGGCAGCCAATTCCTTTGGCTCTGCATGGGTAGGAGATGGAGCTAGTTCTTCCTCAATCGGAAGTGTTAGTTTTGACCCTTCTAAAGCAACACCAAGAACAATATTATCTTCCAACGCAGGCCTAGCTATGGATGGTGACGCAGCAGGCCTTTCACCGTCTTGCTTTGCCTGCGAAGTGCGTGAAGGATTGTCTGTATTATCACTGGAAGATTCTGCGGGAGTTAGAAGTGACTTCTCAAAAGAAACTCCAATCGTGGTGTCGTCTTCTGATTTCACTCCTGTTGTTTTCCCCAATGTGTCTTCCCCAATTGCCGCCGCCATCTGCTGCTTTTCAGGGTTGCTTTGGACTGAACTGACGGACTCCATACTCGGGGTTTTGATGTCTGATGTTGACATTGATGAAACCTTTGGGTTTGAGCTGGCAATAGAGCTTGAATCTGATGCCACCTTAGCATCTGCTTTGGTATCACCAAGAATTGATGTTGAGCCAGCCCTGTTTTCTGCCTTGGTGTCAGATGTCGAGGCTGCTTCAACCTTGGCATCTGTTCCTTCATTTAAACATACTGAGCGAGTCGAAAACTTACTCTTATCCTCACCATTGATTTTATAGGAGGGCTCAATCAGCAGGAGTGGGCGGTTAACAGCTGCTTTGGAATGAGTGAATATGGTGTCCGCAAAGGGTACACTGTCCATGTCAGCGTCACTGTATGTTTTCTGAAATGTGCGGATGGGTGTGGCAAGCCGAGCCCGGTGGTGGCTAATAACTCTGAGAAGATCCAACAATACTGCTTCCTGTTTCATCAGAAACATATATTGGTCTTCAGTGGCTAAATTACCAGTTAAATAATTCAGGAAAAAAAATAATAATAATAAAAAATTACCAGTTAATACAGAATATAGCAAAACTTGAAACTAAGGACAGAAACAACAATTTGACTCCACAATAACTACCAGTACAGTATATCATCTTCAAAGAGCTAGACATGGAATGTAAATCTATTTTTTTTTTTTTTTTCCTAAATCACATGGAATGTAAATCTAGAAAACCATGATTCCACACCGAAGTGTCAACCGTCAGAGAGTAATCTGGAATAATAGCTCAAACTTTCCTCCGTAAAAATCTTACAAGAAACCAAAAAATAAATATAAAAAAAGTTAAGAGCCCCTTTCTCTGCATTCCTTTTATCAAGTTCATAGGAATCCATCACAGTAACATGTTAAAACTTTCTTTAACAAAAAAAAAAACCCCACCAAAATCCATATGAATTAGATTACAGCAACGAATCATTGACTGCACCAACCAGCTGAAACCACACAGCACAGTTCCCATCAAAAGTACTAAGAGGATGGGAACTCGATTTGTATTACACATAACACCATCTTTAAGAAAGTTTTCAACTTGAGTTTAGTCAAAGACTTCTTGCTAGCATTCGTGCTTCCAAAAATATAATATAATGATTAATGGGCAGCATATGTCGCTTTAGTGCCAGAATGTCATCAACGCTTACAAAATGGAGATAACAATTGCAGAAAATTGGATACAATAGTAATGATGTGAAAAAAAAAAAAAAAAAAAAAAAAAAAAAAAAAAAAAAAAAACTCCTTACTTTCTAAGGTTTATATTTTGATGTATCTTAGCTATCAGCTGCAGGGACCACCCATTGATTAATATCCAATTGAAACAAACGAGTCTTACCTTGACACAAAGGTACTCCTCAAAATGTGAGGTTTTCACAAAACAAGACACCAAAATCTGCAAAATAATACAGGCCAGAGAAAAATTATAAACACCATTGAAATAATCATTTTTTATTATAACTAATAAAATATGACAAAATTAAGCATTTTCTAAATGCTTAAACAAGATGGAAGCAAGAAAATGAAAAACTGAAATCATAGCAGGTGAATGTTTAACCAATCTAAGTGTAAGAAAACAAGTACACACTTCTAATTATAAAATAAAAAGTACGTATTTTTTATGTCACATGTGATATTTTCTTGGATCAATGATAACAATCGAACCATCCCTCCCTTCAATCGCCGTGCTACAAGCCTACAACAGGTCTTTTTGGGATGAGTGATATTTTAGCTAATGAATAAGCAACTAATGTTACCAATGGCCTAGTGGTATCTCCTCTACCTCTCAAAGTGGATGGTGAGGGTTTGAGTCCCCAAAGGGGCAATGCGGGTGTGTGTGTTTCTTGCCAATGAAAAAAAAAAATTAAGCAGCTAATGTTATTCGATGAGGATTGGAAATTTTGCATTATGAAGAGGCAATTCACATGCATATTTTCTAAATCAGTTGTCAACTAACACAACTATGCATCCATGTATAAAGAGCACCATATATTGTGTTATAAAAACTTCATGCTAGCAATTAATCGCCGTGCTACAAGCCTACAACAGCTCTGTTTGGGGTAAGTAATATTTTAGCCAATGAATAAGCAGATAATGTTACCAACGGCCTTATGGCCTAGTGGTATCTCCTTTATCTCTCAAAGTGGATGGTGAGGATTCGAGTCCCTAAAGGGGCAAAGCGGGTGTGTGTGTTTCTTGCCAATGATAATGTTATTCAGTGAGGATTGGAAATTTTGCGTTATGTAGAGGCAATTCACATGCATATTTTCTAGGGGTGGCAAAATGGGTCAAGAACCATCAACCCGCCCATATCCGCCCGCTTTTTAATGGTTATGGGTGAACCATATTTAATTTAAGGGTTAAGATAGATTGGATAATTTTTAACCACTTAATTTAAGGGTCAAGATGGGTTAAATATGGTAACCATATTCAACCCATATTTCACCCATCACATAATAAACACACAACACACATTTATTCTATATTACACTCAACTCATTTCTCTCTCTAAAATTCTCACTCACAATCCTCTCTCTAAATTTGTCTCTTATCAATCCCTCTCTCTAAGTTTCTCTCTCTAGAAATTTCTTCTAAAAAAAATAAATAATTAAAAATTAAAAAATAAAAAAAATTTAAAACCTTAAAACAAATTTTAAAAATAAAAAAAATTAAAAAATTTTAAAAAAAATTAAAAAATTTACAAAATTTAAGAATTTAAAATAAATAAATTTTAAAAATAAAAAAGGGATACCAGTATCTCTGAATAGAGAAATTTAAAAAAAGAAAAAATCAAAATTCAATGGCTATCCATATGCCTCAGTGTTTTACTTATTTCACTTAATTTTTTCATTAAAACTCAGATCCGGAAAAATATTGGAAACAAAATCTAAACCGACAACTAAAGTTCGATTTTAAATAAAAATTAATTAAAAAATCACAAGAAAAATATATCATATTAACTACGATAAAAAATAATGTCTACAAAAAGACCCAGAACTTAAATTCATAGATCATGAACACATAATAAAAATATGTATATAATATTTTGACCAAAAATTAATATTTAATCACAAAAACAAAAATAATCAGATGCATACAAACAAACATATGTTTAGTATCAACATATAAATAATTTTTAAAAAAAAAAGATGTAGGTCTGATCCAGGCCCCCAAATCAAAAGGCTAGAAGCATCAAAGGGGGCAGACATGATGACCCTTCATTCTCAGTGCACATTACCATGCTTCCTTCATTCTTATATTCCAAAGCATCGGCTTATTGTACATAGATACAGATCTCAACGATGATATACATATACATATATATATACTACTATTTAAGATTTTTTTTTTGAGATAAAAATTTAAAAATAAAAAAATAATTAAAAATAATAATTAATGGGTCCACGGGTCATAACGGGTTGACCCTGCCCATTTTCAACCGGCCCATATTCAACTCGTTCTGAACGGGTTAAATATGCGTCTTGACCCATGTTGACCCGCCCATTTTCAACACAACCCGAACCCGACCCAACCCGCCCATTTGCCACCCCTAATATTTTCTAAATCAGTTGTCAACTAACTCAACTATGCATCCATGTATCAAGAGCACCAAATATTGAGTTATAAAAACTTCCATCAAACATAGTAGTAAGACAACTTTTCCAGACATTCACTTTGCTGATCAAGTTGTATATTCAGTAAAAAAAGAATCATGAATAAATAAAAATAATTGTGAAACAGGACAAGCTGAAACACTTACTAAAAGAGCCTGACTCTTCGGATCGATGTTATCAAGAAATACTCTTCTATGCAACTTTTGCTGCTCCACTTGAGGATTTTTGGCCAAAACTTTGCGCATATCTGCTACAATATTCTGCACAAAGGAAAAGGATGATCCAAGATATAGTGATGTGAAAGGGAAATAAACTTTATGCCTTTATTTGCACAAAACTTCCGTTGACAAACAAGATAATCAATACAATTCCTCACATTGATCTTATTGACATCTAGGTGACTGATGGCAAGGTGGGTTTTGATGCGCCAATGAGTCTTCTGGCTAAGATTCCTCACCACATTCACTGAGAACTTGTGGTTCGGAATGTAAACTGCTTCACGATCATCACCTCTTATAACTGTTGGCGACCACCAACCCACGCACTGAAACATAAAGTATCGGATTACAAAAACATATCGAAACAAATATTAAGATCCCTCAAGTTCTAACCTAGTATATTTAAAAAAAATAACTGTGGTTAGCATTTCCAATTCAGAAGTGTTAAGGCCTTCATTCTTGATAAGCCTAAGTAGCACCATTTTATTTATGTACAAGCAGTCGCAACTGAAAGAGTGGCACCAAGCATAAGCATTTTATTTTCTTTCTAGTTTTTATTATATATACTGCATTTCTGTTGTATACTGAAGCACAGTAACTACGAACCTCTACTGTACCAGAAACTTCGTAGCCGTCAATTTTCGTCTGGATCCATTCATTTGGAACAAACGGTCGAGTTGCATGGATCATTATACTTGAAAGGAAATTTGTGAAAATCTGAAGAAACCAAAAATATAAATCAAGATTTCTAGTTCATGAAAATACACCTAGTTATCTGAAAGCATAAAAAAATAAAATAAAATAAACAAAAATAATTTGATGGTTCATTACTAGCTTTTAACATGACACATGCTAGGATAATCTAGAAAGCTCTGTATACATTAGAAAAACAGCATTGTTTTCATGGAAGGGTGGAAATAAGAACCGAGCTATACCTCACGACCAGCAAGGGTGAGCAACACTGTGCCAAGACCCCCAGCAGTCAGATACTTCAGGGTAGAAAAACCCAGCAACTCCATGAACAATGAAATAGCACCAATCCACACTGCAGTATAAATGGCATTCCCAGCTAATTGGAAGCCCATCTGCAAAAGCAAGACCCACAGTCTATCAATGAGATTCATTTGCAACACTTCATCATTGCCCTCAAGGTAGCTGAATCATTGAGTCATAGTTCTCTAATTATAACAGTCGGACAAAATTAGGAAGTGTGCTCCAATGATTCATCAAAAAGTCAACCAGCAAATGCAATTTGTAAAATGCCTATGCATGGCCAACACTCTGATAAATTCTCAAATAAAATAAAGAAAAAAAGTAAGAAATAAGCTGATCAAAAAAGAATTATAGTGATCTAAAATATATGGTTTCTTTCTTTTTTTTCCCTTAATTAAATCATTGCAATTGTTTGTCAAACAATATTCATTTTCCCCCCAAAATCATAGCCTTCACACAGTTATGCGCCTTATAGTAATAAAAGATGGTAAACAATTAAAATGTAGTAAAATGTCTAAGTAACAGAAACATACATTTCTTGCATCACTAGAATCATTTGTCTCCAAAAAGAACTTTTGTGATTGTTGAACCAATCTGCCAAAACAGAATATTGTGATTGTTGAATCAATCTGCCAAACCAGAATATGGTCGTGTTCAAACATCATCACATAAAATCTGGCACTTAATCCGACATTATAGTGATTTGAAAGGAAAATACAACCTAAATATCAACCGCATTAAAAAAGAAGTTGAAGTAGTAAATCAATAGAAACAGTTAGAAGAACAACAAAAGAAAAAGAACAATGCTAAAGTAGTGGCTACCCTGCTTCACCAATGGCAAAAACAGAAATAAAGTTGGCAAAAACAACAAAAAGAAATTGAACACATATAACCAAACAATTCACACTATGCAGTAGGCACACTAGAACTGATTGTTCTGAGATTTTGAAGTACCAACAATGATCAAAGCAGATGGTTAACTGTAAGTCTGCAATACATCCGGGTTTCAACATATTGTATTTGTGAAGATTCCAAAAATCAAATAAACCACTCAATTCCTTGGCCAACACTTTCTGAGTTAAAACTATATATGCTAATTCCTGAAGAGAAATGACTCTGATAGAAACCACCAACCTTGATAAACTGTAGGCACAGGCAAGCACTGTAGATACTGATCGTACAAAATTCAGAAAACGTTGCTTGACAACATGGCTTGCTTCTGAAGGTAAAATAACCGGATCCAATGTCCTGAAAGAAACACTATTCCATTAGTAATAGTGGAGAGGCTGGCAATAAGTGTTCAGTTATAGCAGAACTCTAATTCCTTGCATATCAGTAACATCCTTTTTTTTAGCATAGCAGTAACATCAAGTCACTGAAACCTGCAGATAAGTTGTGTTCCAATCCATAGCAGCCAAGGCTGAAGATAAGATGTCGTACTCTTTTCCCAACTACTGTCACTCTCCTGCAGGAAATTGTCAAACGAAAGCATCAGAAGCCAATTAAGGGATACAGGGTGCTGAGAGGAGCTAAAAAATTAAACCATGGCAATAAAAGAAAGTGTATGTACATGGAGGAAAAGAATCCTGCACTGTCTCATTAGCGGCCCAAGACCCCACATGGCAAAAGCAATGATACCAATTGCTCGAACCAACTGAATTATAACAGAGCTTCCTTCTAAAGCATTGTATGACCTGCAAGATACCATGAAAAAGAAATTATGAAAAAATCGTATATTAGACAAAAATAGAAACATTAACACATGAGACTGACATAGGACTGACACCATTTGATAGGAAAACTTCTACCATCCCCAACCCCAAAAAAGAATTAAATAAGTTAACAGAGCAACAAAAAAGAAAATAAAACAGAAGTCAAATTGTACAAAACAGGGCACAGTCTGATTACAATGGATAATACACATCTACTCCAGGACTGTGACAATTAAATGCAAAATAGCAATAGTCAGTAGCCAGCTCTGTGCCTTTACCTATAGCATACTGTTTTTCAATTAAAAGAAAATAAATTGAGAATATTTTTGTTCCAATTTTTAATTATCGCTCAGCTATACATATGCTGCCCCGGAATTATACATTAGAAATTAATCTAAGGGAATTTCAAACTTCATAGAAGTGGATATCACAAAGTAGCATCAAGAACACAATATGAAGGTGCTGGAGAAAAGAGAAACTCACTGAACTTAGAAGGAACAGAAGATTAAGGGCCCGATTAGGTCACTGGCAAAATTCCGCAGAACAAAGCTAGATTCTGTAACTTTTGTTTTTAATTTCTAGCTTAGATTAGAAATTTCAAAAGTGAATGTTAGTTGCTACTCCTGCTCATGGTAAAAGATTGAATTAAAGCTACATATAAGGTAAATGTGTAATCTTCTACACTAAGGGTAAAAAGGTAATTTAACACTTTAATGCACTCGCCGATTTAGGGTTCATGCACGCATACATTAGGATTTCTAAGATTTCATGATTTGATTCTCAAAATCCTATTTGATATGCATAAAAGCGTTTCTTGAAACTTCTTGTTCTGAAAATTTTCAAGTATAAACTGCAATAGACTTCAATCAATCGAGCTGTTAATCTGTTAATCGAAGACCACTGGAGTTGTGTCGATTCATTGACCAACTCCTCTATCAATCAAGCCATGCAAAGATTCAGTTTACTTTTTTCTAAAGCACTACAAACCCTACTCTCTATATACCTCTACTTTGCCTACGTATACACTGCTTCTAGGTAGAATATAATGTAACAGAGAATAGCTATATGGAGCACATACAGAGAGCACAATTGTGAGATCTAGAGTGCACATCATTCTTAGTATTGGACCATTGGTGAGTGTTTTTCATTGTGTGTTGACATCACATCCAATGTTGTGAAGTTTATCTAACGAGTTCAACACCGACCTCAATCCCTTAATCAGAAATGGACTTGGCAAGCAAACTGTGTGCCCGAAGACTCAAGGATTGTTCGGTGGATCAATCTCTATCAAGGAGATGACTAAGGGTTTCTAGGGTTTTGGAAACTGTTAACCTACTTGTAATCCTCCTTTCTCATAGTGGATTCAGTTTGCCTAGACTAGGTCCCATGATTTTTTCCAGCTTGGTTTTCCATGTAAAAAATCTGTGTCCCCAATTTTTACTGATTTAATTGTTTATTGCACACTTTGATGATGGCTGGAGTAGATTTTAAATTTTTGTTATAATTTGAATTTCTGTTAATTTTGAATGCAATTCAAAAGGTAGTTAAATTAACTATCCAACCAACGAGATCAACTCACCCCCCTCTAAGACGCTGCTCTATTAATCCTTTGGAAGTCTAGATCACAGGCCTTGCTTGACTCTCAATCAGAGTATCGGGTTCCAGACCTACAAACTTCCAGGTCCACATTTGGAATATCCAAATTGCAACCAAAATTGTGAAACTAAAACACTGAAACCTTCCCACATGTCAAAACCAGCATCTCAGAAGAAAGAAGGAATTATGACTACCAAAAGAAACTGACCACAGTGATTCCTCTTGCCAGTTGGTCAGCAATGTAAAATTGGAAAACAGTGCCAAAATTAGGATCGGTGACAATAACACATCCATTTATCCAAAACAAAAAGGTCAATCGCATTCAAAGTCCGGGTTGTGAAACTCCTTTAATATTCTGAGAAAAGCGAGAACCAGATCTCCACATGGCATTTACATGGATGATTATTAACATTTCCAATAGTCAGAGTTTGGCAATGTAGGTTACGGAAAATTAATGATAGCAATAAACTCAGTTGTTCTTCAAACTCCATGCCATTGGACAAGTTAGGGAAGTGCACTCAAACATTTGGTCTGAATTCCTTTAAAATTTTATAATTATTGAGTTCCTTATCAAGCCAGAGCCTCAACAACCCGCAAAATCTGAACTGAATAATGTAACCAGGGCCAAAAATTCAGAGACCTATAAAATCTGAGGCCAAGAATCAATGACATCATGCATCTACTGACAAGATAGAGTTGGAATTTTGACCCAAGGCATCTGCAGATGACTCAACACATCTGCAAATGTTGACATGACTAATAGAGTGAAAAATACATCTTGACCATAGCTAATGCTGGGCTATACTTCTACAGTAGGCTTATAAAAGAGTAATAAATAATGATAGACGCACACGAACAATTGAACAAATATACGCAAATGTTGTTAGATTATTGAAGGTGAACACAGAGCACTAAATAAATAGTAAATCATAGCAAACAAACAACTATGCATTATCTAGAGTATTTATATAGATATGCACCTATATTAGGGTAACTACAACAACAACAACCAAGCCTTTTCCCAACTCTTGGGATTAGCTATATTAGGGTAACTGAATTAAAAAATATATATAAATACAAATATATATGTTATATACAAATATTGAAAACACAGATATACCTCTTCATCACCATGGCGGCAGTTTCTAGAACAGGAAAATCATTTCCTCCACTTGGTTTTAGAAAGGAGTGGCACTGGAAAACATTACATCTAGAATATAAAGGACTTAATGGCCCGTGCACACTGTCTAAAAGATGGAGACTCCAATGATCCTGCTGCTGAAGATGTGACAAGTAAAAATTTGGATGTTAAAAATTTAACAGGTAGGAAAATTGTTAAGCTTCAATTATGTCACAACTCACATGCACACATAGCACAAGAGCAGTGGATTACTTGACAAAAAAATAAATAACACACATATAATTGAACTGAAATTTGTTTAAATAGAACTTGTTACTTTTATGTAATGTGAGAAGATTGTTCCTTCAGAATCACACATTCAAGTAACAAAAATGAAAATGGAAAATAAAGGTAAAGGGGGAATGGGTAGAATATTGCTTGTCTTTTCAGCGAAATCTAAACTTCAAACAGACTGAATTTCCATTAAAAAAAAAAATACTGGATCACCAAATTACAGTAACAAGCAGCTGACCTTGAATATTTTTTGCGCATCATTACTGCATGTCTCGCTCAACAATGATGTGGCATCAATTCTATAATTTTTTGGTATTTGATATTTCATCCTCAACAGTGATTTGGCATCAATTTCTGTATTTTTTGGTAAGTTATACGTATTCAATTTTAAAACGCTTCTGACCACAACACTACCATAGAAGCATGAATCTAACAACCTTCAACATGCAATAGAGTGCATCAAGACAAACTGGAACAAAGACCATGACAAACAATTGTAAATTGATTAAAAGTCCAGATTATGAACTTATATGCAATTCTGACAAATCATGCAAAGTAGCATATATTATGTACGTAAGCTGTAGAAAATAAAAGGTCAGGAGGGGAGGGGAGAGAGAGAGAGGTGGATTTCTAATCTGAATACGAGCATACCGCAGCATGTGATGAAAGGTTGATGTCGAACATATGTAAGCAGCCCTTTCCTATCATACCCTGGAAAAAACATCAAAAGAACCAGATGTATTGGAATTTTAAAACTTAAAGGGATGGTAAAAAATAATATAATCTCTTAAAGAACCAAGCAGGCAACCACGCACCTTAGGTTCATTCCTGTGACTGTATTTATTGTAAATTCCTAGTTTGCAAGACAATAGCAATGAACCAGCAATAGACATCATCGACAAAGGTTGAGATACACTAGGGGCAAAATATCATAATGCGCATAAAAGCAGTTTATCCTTGGACCCAAAGTATACTGCGAAAAGGAGGAGCAGAGATCAAAAAGATTACAAACTACCATGCAATATATATAATACACCTGTCAAGTAAACTAAAACAAGTTTATTGCACACAAATAGAAAAGTGAAAATAGACTAACAACGATGAATCCATATCTTCAACTCTCCAAAGTACTATAATAATATCATGCAAATAACATAACAGAAAATCGAGCTCAAATAGAAATGTAAAGAAGCCACACAAGAGTAAGAATCTGGCACATGTATAACAAATTGAAGGAACTCCAAAGCTAGTATCAAAAACCCAAAGCATAGGCCAATATTTTGTTTTCGCAATAGGAAAAACAAAAACAGGGAAAGTGTGTGCATTCTGCTGGATGAAACTTCTTATTATTTGCAGGCATAGTAATTACAAATTACATTGTTGAGTATTGCAGTCTACATGATCAATTAAAAATTGTCAAATCAGATAAAATACATAATGAACATAATGAAAGCAACGCACAGTCATACATAAATTGTACAACGAGAACAAGAATAATTATCCAGTACCAAAAGCATGACGATCAAGTTACATTAGTGTATATTCGTCAACACTTATATAACAAGGTAAATTATTTATAAATAATAAATACACATAAGTCAATATGTACATAAACTTTTGTTGGGCATATGATGCTACAACTAAATAGCAATAAATCAACCTATGTTACAAACTCAGGCAAGAAAATGCAAATACCATACCTTGCCTATACCAATCAATGGCAAGCGCGCCCGTGAAAGCCTGAAATATTGAATAGTTCCTGTGTTTGGCTACAGAAAAAATGAAGGAAAATAAAAGAAAGAAACCAAATCTTGAGTCAGATCAACTCACATAGGCAAATTTAAAGGTTTCAATCTGAGTCTTCAGTTGTTTCTAAATAACGCATTTGCCTATATATATTCAGAATTATTTTCTTTTCTTTCTGTTCTTTTTTCTTTCCTTTTCTCAGAAAGCAAAATCAAACCCTAGATGTAGAAATTACAGATCAAAATAAAACCCCAGTTTCAACGTGCCTAACTATTAAGCATATTTGAACATTAAATTTACAAATGCTCAATAACTAGAGCATTAAAATTCAAAGAACAAAATTGAAAATAATGATACTTACATTTCTATATCTGTGTGCTATACGAATAAAATTCCACAATTTTGTTTACTTTTCTTGATAAGGACTTGTTCTTAGAAGGTGAACTGGAAAATGGAGGGGACAATAATAGCTTGCACCGGAAGGTGTTGATTTCGAACTGTTCCGTGTGCAAATTGAAACTGTATTGGATATTCGGACTATTATTTGCTTTACGTGGCGAGCTGTCAGGGCCGGTTTCTAATATGCGCCGTGTGTATATTGCTCGTGTCTTTCGCGGAGACGCAACGCCGACATTTTTAACATTATTTACACGTGATTTTCAAGAAGATAAGGGTTTGGTACTTGGGCTCACTTGGGTGGCTCTTGAAAAAAATGGTGTGCCGGTTGACCCGAGCTCAACACAGGTTCAATAATTAATAGGAATTAAAATACCTATTACTTTTAATTGATCATTTATATACGTAGTAATAAATAACGGAATGAATTTGTCTGCTTAATTGTATTTAGAATGAATAATTAATTAAAAATTATTTGATTAGATAATTTATAAGTTTTTAATGTGAGCATCACTACTCTAATAAATTTGAGCCCAATATGAGTAATATAAGGTTTTCATTTGTTCCATTAATTTGTGAATTCGATTCAATTTAATCTTATTATTGCAAATTGGATTGATTTTTTAGTCTCACAATTTGAAAACGAATTGATAAATAATAATTCGTAGTCTATAAACCAGTTAACGAATTGGGTCTTAAAAAACTCAATAATGGTTAAAAATAATAATATTGAACTTTTTATAAAAAAAAAAAAAAAAAAAAACTCAATCCCTTGAACCAATATAATCTAATTCATGAAAAGATATAATCTGATATAATCTAATCTGTAAAGTAACCGATTATATGAAATATAATTTTCACCAATCCATAAAAAAACGAACTGAATTAGATTTAATGTCTAATCCGATTCACTCCTATTCATGATCACCCTTAGATTTACGTTGATTAAAATGCTCAAAGATACATGGATAAAGTGAAAAACTAAATAAATAAATAATTTTACAACCCTTTTTCACATTTTTATTGTAGGACTCATTAATTTAAGCATGTTTGACATTTGTTTTGTTTTATTTTTGGCATTTTATTTTAATTTGAAACAAAATAAGTGTTTTGTTATGAAGTGTTCTGGGTTGAAAACGAAAACATGTTTGGCAACACAAATTTGCGGTGAAAATTTCACAAACAGAAACATTCAAAACATGTTTTGCAATATCTTTCGTTTCAAGAAATTTGGAAATAAAGCATATTTGACAGAGTTACGATGTTATTAAAATTACTGAAACAAAAACAAGAAACATGTTTGGAAAAGAGTGCTTTTGATTTGTTTTATAAAATCTAAAATATATTAATATAATTATTATTTATATATAATAGTACATTATTTATATGTTTTGGAAAAAAATTACTTGATTATTACTTATATTTTAGTAATACTAATAAGTTAAGGTCATATTTTAAAAATAAATAAATAAAACCAACCGAAATCAAACCCAAAGTAACTAATGGTTTAATTGAAATAACGTGGCTGGATTATCTACTGGGATCAATACCGTTTTGGGTTGGATAATTGACTGATCCGGAGTCTCCATTTGTTAGGGCACTTTCGTAATTGGAGGAGGCATAAGAGGGAGATCAAAGTAAATTAACTTACCCTTGACATGAAACTCTTATAAGATGAACATTACTACACATGTTCAGTTGCGGTCTTTATCAGGACTGGACCGACGGTAGAGGAACCAAGGGAAACGATGGCCCACCAATGTTCTCACTGCAGCTGGGCTTAATGATAACACCAAAGTTGACTTGTTCATTGTCGATGCATCCTGGTCTTTTCCACAAAGTATTACATTTGCAATCCCAAAGCTTCTACTCTTTGCAACCTCCATCACCATCTACCAAAGGCAAAAAGATTTGAATTGCATCTACAACAAAGAAGTATAGTTTCAAACATACCTCGGCTCACCCCTAGCAGCACAATTTACACAGGTCTCATGGCACAACTTGGTGTGGAACTCCCTCATTATACCACGCATGAAGTTCAATTTTTGTTTGGCTGTCCAATTTCGATTACCTATACTAGAGAGTAAATCTATGGTTAAGCATAAGAATTCGTGTGCCATTTGCAACATCTCCACAGAATTACATGACCACCTATTCTTCAATTGCAGCTTTGTTTCACCAATTTGAAGGTTCATCGAAGACATATGTCAATTTGTCTATGTATTCAGCAACTGAAACACATTGATATTATTCATGTTGGAAAATATGTGCTTCGAATGACATTTAAGATATTCAATTCGATATTTAATTAAACATGCAAATTAAAATAATAAAATAATGATAATAATAATAAATAAAGAACTTAGACCAAAGCTAGTATTGGATGTTATATCCTTAAGACAATTTATGCCCCGCTTGGTACTGACGAACTTTGTCGCGCTTGTCTCCCAGGATACAATGGTTTACATCCACTAGTAGCAGTACTACAAACTCGTGGATACGGTGAACCTCCTCTATGTGATACTATCTCTCACTAAAAAATACATCTATACTATATAAATGCTAAATTAGGTGCAATTCGAACCAAATGGCTCGTACCAATCTTAATATAGCTTCATGAAATTGGATTAGGGTCTAAGTGGCTTGGACCACTTGACCTATGGTTTGAACTCACTTGGGTTGGGTTCAAGTCTATAGAGGAAGAGAGAAGAAAATGAATTGAACCAATTGCAAATGGCAGCCCAATGAGGTATTTAAAGAAATAGAAGTGCCTTTTCGGGTTAGGTGTGTCTCTTTATCACTGGACACAACCATTTATATGTGTTTCTTCATCACTTGGCACAACCATTAATATATGTTTATTCATCACTAGACACACCCACCGCAATAGGTTGCAATAGTTCATATTGAATAGGTTATGTCTGTTGGTTTTGAGTTGTATCTTTTCATTCCACAACCAACTAATGATCACACATATTTAGTCACAGGCATTTGTTGATGACTGATGAAACAATTTTCATTAAAAAATTCTAACAATTTATCAGCAATCAATGGAGAAACAACACACCTCAAAATCTGATTCGAAAAATCTGCTTTATTTCAATGGTGTATCACACATGGGAAGAACACAATAGAAATATTTTTAGAAAAGAAAACCATTCTCAAAGAGTTGTCTTGGCCAAAATCACCTCTTCCATTACATCAATTATCAGATTAGGGTTCCTAAAAGATTGAACTGCTTCAAGGAGGATCTTTGCTGGCTGGAATCTCCCTCCTTCTTGTTGCCGGCCGCCTCCTCGTCCGTCGGTTAACAGCTTCCAACCTTTTGCTTCCCTATCATTGAGGGCTGCTACACTGGAATGTTGTTCAGTCAGTCTCCATCAACGGCTAATTTAGCCGTTAATTGTGGCTATCTGTTGGTTTAACTAGGTTGGGGTTCTCCCATTGTATGCTCTATTTGGGCTTTGTTTTTTTCCAATTTTTGAACGGTCTTGGGCAAAGGCCCACACCATGTAAATATCCTTTATATTTATATCGGTTACTTCAAATTTTGAAAAAAAAAAAACCTGAAGCACAGTGGCATAAATTCCCAAGTCAGTCCAAATAAATAAATAGAGTACTTCATGAACCACTCGAACTCAGCTTATTTAAAGTTCAATTTTGGTTCGTTTGTTAAACAAAAAAGTCTAATCTGAATGCAATTTTTAGGTTCGTTTACTAAACAAGTTTTATCTTGAATAATATTGAGTTCGACCCGTGTTGACTCATATATGTTCATGAACATAGGCTCATATACGGTTCGTGAACATGTTTATAAACATAAGCTTATATATAGGTTCTTGAACATACGCTTATGTACGTTTGTTTATATTCATGAACTAGTCAAACGATCTTAAATATGAGCTCAAATCTAGGTCAAATGACTATTGAAATTAAACGAGTTGAACCCGAACTTCTCAAAATAATGACGAGATGAGTTGAACCCAAGCTCAGTTTTTCAAACTCTGTCATTATTTCTAGCTAAGCCCACAAAAGAACGAGTCGAACCCGAACAAGTTCAAGCTCAACTCAATTCGGTTCATTTGCAACCCTATGAATCATAGAAGTATTAGACTGGGTTTACTATTCATCACAACACTACGCCAAAATAACTAACAAGAACATTTTTATTCGATATGCAAAAAGCAATGGTGATGATCAAACTTTTGGTCAAGTAAGAATTTGTTAAGTTTTTATTCAAGAAGAATTGAAATTCATTGTGTTGTGCTTAGAATGCACCGAATTGACAAATTAAATTTGAAATTGAAAGAAGTTTACTTTTAACTTTGAATTGGTTTTCTTATATTCAAAATCTTAAATCTTATATATTACATAAATTGTAATTTTTTTTTAATTTTATGTTCATGCTATTAGTTTTGGCCTCACGTGTAACTTCCAATGACTTAAACCTCTTTTTAATAATTTGCCAAACACGGCTCAAAATAGCTCTTTAATTCTAAAAATTAAAAGTAGCATTTGAAAAGTCAATCCAAATAGGATCTTAATCAAATAGAATCTTTAACAGACCTTTACGAGGTGCTATGTTTAGTGTAAGAAAATTAGTAATTTAAACAAAAAATTGGCTTTGGGCTGGGTTTGGTAGGCTGAGCAACCCATGTTAATCCTAAAATAGGGAACCTTTGTTTTGTTTGGCTAAAAGGAAAATCATAGTATTGAATAGTGAAAGTGCAGGTGATAGAAATGAAGTGAGAAAAGGAATTTAAGTTTTTGGATTAAAATGAATTTTTTATAATAAAAAAATGTATTGTAGAATTATAGTATTCTTTTATGGTTTGAATAGCATGAAAATTTGTAAAAATAAATATTGTGGGGTATATGTTTGTATGGTTTGAAAAACTTGAAATTACTAAAAAAAAAAAAAAAATTAGGATT